ATTGCTCGACCAGAACAGATAAAAAAATGACGGAGTTATATCGAAAATATGAGACAATGTTCAGTTTTGCGAATCCTATCTTAAGTTAACTCGTACAAGTTAGTCGAACCGTTGCGGAAGTTGGAACGCACAGTGATTTCGGTAATTCTATGCGTCAGGTGTTCGATGGAAATGAATTTGCGACAGGAAAAAATCAAAATGGAATTTTGAAATAAATTGCACACTCTAACGACGAGCGATTGCTACTTTTCTGTCTTACAAAAAAAAAGTTAAATTGAAAAACTTCTTTTCAAAGCAAAGGCAGGCAGTGAAGAAAACGTTAATATGAAGTCCTCTTTGGAAAAGTATGAAATGAAAAAAAACTAGAAAACTGTTTCGAAGAAAAAGTAAATATGCTCACTTTCATTGTAAACACAAAGTATAGAAAAAAGAGAATTTAAAACTTTCTTGTCAGGAAGAAAAGGTAAAGAAAAAACTGTTTCTGATGAAAGAAAAGGTGATGAAGTGTCTTTTTGATGAAAAAACAGGATACAAGCTAGTTTGAAAAAATAGAGCTGATATAGCTCTAAATAATAAATCTGTCATTACTGGACTATTCGGAAATGGTGCCACTCGATATAAGAGACGTTCCAACTTCCGCAACGGTTCGACTAACTTGTACGAGTTAACTTAAGATAGGATTCGCAAAACTGAACATTGTCTCATATTTTCGATATAACTCCGTCATTTTTTATCTGTTCTGGTCGAGCAATGTCTTATTCGGAAGACCATCAAAAGCTAAACAAAATCATGTGCTTTCTCTTTTTCTAAACTCAATACTGATGTTGTAAGAGGTTCATCAAGTGAAGGATTATGATTTTCACATACAAATTTTTGAGGATAGTAAATAGAATATTGACGATCGAAAGGACTCGCCCATGTATATTTTATTTTCGAACATAAAATTTAAGTTCATCTGGGTTTGCTTATTTTATGAAACTTCTTCTGCTTTAATTCCAGTTTTGATTTCGTCTAGCCTATTAAGTCCTTGTATTAATAATTTTGCTTCACTTCCATTGCTGTTTATTTGATGACAGATTCATGTCAGTTTAGACAAACTCGAAATCAAAAGAAGCTAATTGTGAGTCACACGTTGAACGTAAATGTTACTGAATATTTGAACTTTAACTATTGATAGCTTTCTCTTGTTCCTAACTGGCACATTTTTCCCTTAAGCTTTTGATTAGCTTTGAAGTGATATAGCTCATTGTAACTCCAAGTATTCCGATTGAGAAAATAACAGATATCAATTTCCTTATCGTTTCATACAAGTGTGATATTGTGATCATTCATCCTGTTGTTTCAGAACCTCAAATAAGAAAAAGTATGAATTCGCGATCGACGGGTGATTTAAATAAAGTATATCAATTTAGTGAAGATATTACAGAATCTCGTGCGCGTATTCTTGTAACGATGTACAACGAACAGAAAAGAGGTTCAACGAGCAGCAAAAGGCGCAATTCTCGTATCGAAAATTTGCGCGTGCGCATAAATAGGTTGACACTCATGCGACATGACGAAATAATGAGAGTCTATTCGAATGTGACTCTAAACAGAAATATGTCACCACTACCACCATTACCACCGCGTCGACGTCGATTAGTCGTATCAACTAAACCGCTGCCACTATCTTCGTCGCCGTCATCTCGATCAGTTATAGCACCTCAACCGTTACCACCAATCCTTTCTTTGAAAATAACACACATTGAAAAGACTGAACCCAATTCAATAACAATTGACATGGTCCCAAATTCGTTCGAGCCTGACAACGAGACTGATGAAGAGGAGGATATCATTTACCCAGAAGGTGTCACCGATTTTCATCCATACAAAATTGTGGCTCGTTATCGAAAAGTCACGGGAAAATCGACTAATTTTCGTCTTGAACCACTCCTTGTCGGTGAAGACTCTACAGAAACGCTCGTGCTCGGACTCGAGAACTTCGCTCAACAACATGGGTGCAACTTGAGCTTTACAGATGAGGATCTGTTGTTCGATAAGAGTGTTTATCGAGCCGCATGTGGTGTGGCTGATTTAGGTAGTATTCACCTGCTTGCCACTGATTCCTTGCTCACAGCCAGCTTTCAATTTGAAATTGATCTTGACTACGACAGCGAGTTCGATCAATCAGAAGACAACATCGAAAAGTTTGTGCTGGACTTTTGTGAAACTATTTCCAAAGTGCTGACCTGTGAGAATAATAATGTTCGGGTCTTTTCCATCAACAAATTGGCCAAAGGATCAGGAAAGAGTGAAGTGAATTTCGGCTTGACCACACCAGATCCAGAAAGAACGGAACAACTTGCTCACGATTTACAGGTATACCTTTACTGTTATCTATTTCTTTGAATGATTTCGACTAGCTTGAATTCTAAGACACTCTTCAAAGAACGAGACCAGATGAGGTGGTCTACAGATGTAGTTTTCTTGGAATAACACCCCTTTCCCCAAATTAGAAGACCACGGTATATTACATGGCCAAGCGCTTTAGAAGGGCACCTCTTAAAAAAAGTTCGATCCACGAAGTAGAAGACCATAGTTTATATATGGATATGTTATTTATAAGTAACGTTCATCGAAAATTGATTCACTAGATTATAGACTGAGTGTATATTGTGTATTAATCCAAACGAAAAAATAGGGCTATCATCTGCTAAAGTTAAAATTTTAATACGCATAAAATCTTCTAAAGCTATCTATTTATACTTCTGAATAAGAGCGGTCGATTCTTTAGCCCCATGACTCACTACTAATAGGCATTGGAGAGTAAAATGGCCATTAAATCAATCACAACGCATTTTAAAGTCACGCTGACAAGACGTATCCATCGGTGTCGATAAGGCATTTGTATCAAGGAGCTATGTAAATTTCGACTATTATAAGGTCAAAGAAAAAACTATATATGGTTACTGGAACCAGATATGGTATTTACTGGAAACAAATAAGAAGTGAAGCTAAATAGTTAACTCAGGTGAACTCAGGGCTCGGTAACTCCAACTCCGGAGTTGAGGATTTTTTTGGTGGAGTTAGAGTTGACCTTGGCGGAGTTGGAGTTGAGATTTTAGTACGTTGGAGTTGGGCTTTTGAATTTTTATTCTCACCTTCGTTTTGCATTTTTGGATATATTCAATAGTTGTAAACTGATCTTCTAAACGATTGAGTATATTCAAGAGTGAATTCGGAAGTTCTTTGCACTTTCCTACCGGAAAAAGCTCAAAAACGTCCAAAATCCTGCTAAAAACCGAAAAATCTTCCTTACAAAAGTGCGCAACCGGAGTTGAACTGGAGTTGAGATTTTTGTTGAGAGAGTTAGAGTTGAAAGTCAGCGGAGTTGCCCAGCCCTGGATGAACTGCGAGAAAGCATAAGAAAAACCCTGTCGTTCAATAACTTTACAGTCTTTTACTCGATACTGGTAAGTCAAACTTTATACTGTCTGCATTAGGTGGGTTTCTGAAGTATACTCCATGTAGACAGAGTGATGCAGACGTGGTCAATAATACCGGAATTATGATTTGTTCTTGATGCATATAAGAAGTGTAATTTAATGAAAAAACCAAGTAATTTTAGGCAGACAATGATTTTCAAAACGTGTCACAGACAGACACAAGGGAATTATGTACCGCTTCTAGACCATCTAGAGCCTGATATTATAATTCGCTAGTACCAAAGAAGTACTCTAGGTCGTCATAGTTCACAACCGAGGTCACATAATATGAATGGTTTTATACTGTTGGAGTCGATATTATACCGTAGGAATCAGATTGTGAAGAGAAACCGCCACTATCTGTTATGGTTATAGAAATATATCAGAGATTATTTCTATATTAGGAGACAGCGCGAATAGTTACTCTTTTATATCATATTTGCAGACTTATGCGCGCTCAGGCTTTGCAACTGACACAATTCTTCGACATGTCAAACCAGGAGAATACGAATGCAAATGGAAGCCAGTTGTAAGCTACTTACAAGTGCGACCAAGTGATTTGGCACCAGAATTTAACTACGACTACAGGGCTCCAGGCGTGCCTCTAGAACTTAAGCGTGGAAATTACCCATACTACCTTCCAATTGACTGGTTTCGTCATGCACTCAACGTTCTCCATAAGTATACAACCGATTCTACTTGGTTAGGTTGTGTAAACGCTGAAGGCGAGTGGCCGGTCGCCTTCCACGGAACTCGTTCCGATGCAGTGAACAGTATTGTACAACAGGGTCTCTTGCCTAGCGCAGCCAGACTTGACGTTGTTAAATATGAAGCTATTCAACAAATGGGAGAAGAGGCGAATCATCCGGGACTGTATGTGGCAACACATTGTAACGGTGGATCGCATCCTCAATATACTACACCTTTCACTGTCACGACATTTCCCCAGAAGAGTGAACAGTTCAGGATTGTTTTTCAATGTCGAGTGCAACCTGGCAAATTTACAACTCATTCAACTCCTGTTCAAAAGGGCAAAGCATGGCGTATTGTCGATCCTAGTGCTGTGCGACCTTATGGAATTTTACTTAAAAAAGAAGATTCATCCAAAGAAGACGAAAAAACGTGAACATAAAACTGTTCAGTACATATTGAACTATACTGTTGCTAACTCGATGCTTTTTCGAATAATGTGGTTTGCTGTCATGAACTGTAGAGTAGACCGCTTCTTATTCACCTTTCTTTGAAAAGTAGCCAAATCTAGAATAAAAATGGGGTATTGCTAAAAGACGCGAACACCCACGAACACCCCCAAATTAAAATCTGAGTTAGCCAATCGATAGAGCTCGTCGAGCTGAGTATAGCAACGTCTAACGAACACCCAAAAAACTTTTTATAGTTTCGCTTTTTAA